ATTTTTCTCCAAATCAAAGTTGACAAAGCAAAAGGAATCTTTGGGGATGGGATGACAGACAGTTCAGCATGACTGTGTTGCCTAAAATTACACCACCAAGCCAAGTTGCTAAAGTTCAGCATAGAGGATTAGAACATTTTTCCTTTTTTTCACTATATAGAGCAACAGAACAAATAGAATAGTATATTTGCTTTGTAAATTATATTTTTTTTTAAATTTACTCATTATCCTCCCAAACTATTTGGTATTTCACAGCGTAGCTGATAGAGTGATTGATTTCCTGGTTAACCTACTCTTTACCATTTATATACGGCAGCCATAGACTGCTCTAAACCACAGAGCATAAGGTTCGTCATTGTTCTGCAGGCTTACATTACAGCCAGAAGAAATTGATCTTAAATGTCCATACACACATTAGCAAACATTACTGGAAAAAAAAAAGATGGTCATGGAGGATAATGTATAAATTTGGTCACACTCACAAAATGGTTAACAATTTCTGTCAGTTCCAAAAGACTCTTTTAAACTCCAAAAAAGTCGAAAAGAAGCAGCAAGCTTAGAATGAGAGGATACTGGGAAAAGACTAGCATGGAGATTAATATTTCCTGATAGAAATCTATTCCCTTCGATATTTATTTATTAGTAGCATCAAAGGAAAAACTTCTTAAACTGTGTATTATGAACTGATACTAAGAAAATTCTTAAAATGAAAAAAGACTTGTTTAAAGTTTTTCTTTTACTTTGCTACTAATTGCCTTCAGCAGTTCATTATTTCTGAAAGAGTTAAAGTTCTTCTGACATCTTTCTTACAATAAAGAACTAAAATCTGAAAAGGAGAAAGCCAAATGGGTTCTAAAGGTAAGGTAACAATGAGGGATTCAGAATGTGAGTAAAAACATACAAGATATTCGTAACTAAGACTGATGAAACCTTTTATCGCTTACAGAGTGATGCCAAAGAATCAGGCTATAATCCTGAGTTTACTCCCTTCTCCTGTACATCTAATTATAACTTGTGGGGCAGAACAAGATTTCAAGGAGGAAAACAACCCAGCTTTTTAAAGCACTTTCTGCAACCTTTTCTCATCAAGCCACTTTCTGCAACCTTTTCTCATCAAGCCATTTTCTTCAACCTTTACAGTTTAATGCAGGGAGAACATGTGTACCACCAGTGTTTCTTTTGGTAATTAGTGATGTTAACTAGTGGTGCCATAATTTGTACTCAGACTACCTCCTCCTTTTCCTTTAAAGACAATCTAACCCATAGCTTACAAGAATATTTTAGAGGGCAAAATAAACAGAGACCTGGTTATGTTTTTAAAAAACACTTTGTCCAACTTTTACCGAAGTATGAGAATAACCGGAGCTTACAAAACTGGCCTTCTTAAATGTTTCATACACAATGAACAAAACAGTAGTGCCTTCACATTGAACATTTTTCCTTCAATGGCAAGCAACAACCATACTTCCTTTTCAACCTGAAATAGTTTAAGGGAAGATATCTACCTCACCACCGACAGCAAGTAAAGAACCTTCATTGTTAAAAGTTAGCGCTAATTGTTGTCCAACATCTTCCAATGGCTCAAGTACTTTCTCAGATGATCGCAGACCCAATGAACGATTTTCAGTTGTCTGAAAATCCCAGTCAAACCATCTACACAGGTAACACATTGATTAGATGCTTACCCACACTACTCGCCAAAAGTACAGGCAAAAATTCCAAGCTTAATTACTGCAAGTGGTCTACTGTGGACTAAGTTTGCTAAAGCAACTAACCAGATAGAGGAGAAAAATCACAAAAATGAACAATTTCAAAAAGTTGTAGAGTTGATGTCAAGTGATATCACTTTAGTCCTTAACTATATAAACCCCTAACTGTTCTATCAGCAACAGTATGCTTTTGTGATTCTATGCTCCCCTCAGCCTGTGCCACCACTCACAAGTCACAAAGTGAGGGGTGAAAAGAATGAAGAGATACTCAACATGAATAGTAATCTAAGCCTTCAAAGTAAATCCCATTGCACAAACTTTACCTGCAGCTTTTTGGCAATGAGCATATAAGACCTTCTCCACCTGGATGTACTGCCATCCTATAAGGCAGATCACCTCCAGTTCCTAACCTAGCCACCTTCAACAAAGCACACAATTTTAGTCAATCTGATCCAAGGAGGCGACAAATATAATCTCTCATGCTCTTCTAATGTTTCAAGGAAAGCAAAAGTGAAGAGCATACATGGCAATGGAATTAAAGTTATTTGACCAATCATAAAGATCACTGATATATTGTTGCTTTTGGATGTACTTGATAGTTTTAGCTAAGGCTCTTGTAAAAAGAATAGTTTTATTAGGGCTAGAACAGCTGAAAATGTTAATCTATAAGCATCACAAGGAACCAGGTCTGACAAAGATAACGTGCTGCACTGAAAAATAGCAAATCTGATGTCTGTGGTCAACCCATCCGAGCCCTTCTCATCTTTCAGCAAGCAGGATTTAGGCTTCACCAAGAATTTCCTCAAGACAAAAGATTATTATAATGCCCAAAATAGTTTTATCATGTACTCCCTCCAACTCAATTTATATGACAATGCTTGACTCCACACAAAGTTTAAGATATTCATTTCGACTAAGAAGAAAATAGTAAGTTAATGATTGAAAGTTAGTTTGAACAAAAGATCATCAAACTAAAGTATAAAATTCAAAAAAATTAATTGCTTCAGATTCTTTAAAGTTATGATTCTTGTGGAAGCTAAACAGAAGTAGAATAGTGTCGAACATATTCAAATGTTTCAAAACAGAAATAGTATCATAAGACAAATACAAATAAAATAGAGGGGATAGCTCATTAAGCTACATAATGATGCATGTTTAAAAGTTAGAGAAGCCCGTTGACTGTAATACATATTGATTCCATAACTTCTGTAGCTGTACATCAGTCCCCCGGATCCGAGAAATGAACAAAAACTACTACTTTGCGAAGTTATAGCCTGTTTGGCCAAGCTTTTGTGAGGCGGAAAGAGCTTATTTTTAAAAGTCCCCTGGATCCGAGGAATGAGAAAAAAAATTAATACTTTGCTAAGTTAGTTTCCATCAGTTTCGGTCATTTGATCACTTGAAAACTAAAAGTCATCAGGAATTCATATAGTCTGCAATTTCATAGACCTTAGCTTCTTAAAGATCATACAGACGAATCTAGGAAGAACACAACATTTGCGTATATGATGAGCATAGGCACAAACAATAATCTACAGAGCAATTCAATTTATATAAAAGCACTGTACATGGAATGAAGATTTATGACTTACAGGTTCATCAGAGAGCACATTAGAATCAAAATCAAATTGAGCAACAATGAGAGCGTTACGAATACCGATATTCCCTTCCCCACCGCCTCCGGCAAGGACAACATAGTTTCCCGTTTCCGAGGACGATGATTTGTCTCCGTCGTTCTTTTCATCATCGGCCGACGGTTCGACGGCAGATCTGAAAGCGCTCGGTGGAACCCAACCGGCACCGTAAATTGGGACTCCATAGTTCTTCGAATTGGTGGAATCAGCCATCTATGGTCACTCTGATCTCAGCGTATCGAGAAATTGAGATGCGCACCAAGGGGCTTTGGTTTGCTTCAGTCAAATGGTGAGAACGTTTGCTGTATTTCTGTAATACACTAATACTTCAACGGGACCGGTTCGATGAGGTTGTAAAACCGGTCAATAGAGTAGAATCGGGTTTTCCGAGTCAAGACCGGTTTGTGTAATTAATGTAAATTAATTAAGGGGTGTTTCGTTTAGACATGAGTTATGCATAGTAAAAATTACCTAAATATACAACTTATTTTATTATATTTTTTAAACTTCCTACCATTTGAAAAAATTACAAAAATTTCTACTCTCTCCTATTTCAAATACATCACTTTATGCGATGATCGATCGGATACATCACTTTACTAGATGTATCAAACATACGCGATGTATCAAGACGTTGAGTGATGTATTCAAAATCGAGACGTGATGTATCTGGAATTGGAACGTGATGGGACGTTTTAAGATGTATCCGAATTCCATCAAATTTAAGGTTTTTTTGTAATTTGAAAAAGAGTATAACTATGATGTAATTAGCTCTTAACACTATGATATTTGTGTAAAATTTTCTATATTAAAATCTGCATAAGTAATACTATGTTTGATAGCTAATTAGGAGGTAGATTATTCATTTATAAAATTAATACAGTATCCGATTTAAAATTTAGAAATCAACATAATTAATACATGTATAAGTCATGAAGATAACTCTAACCATCTAGCAAATGACTCGTAAGTACACCGAGGGGACATTTGATAATTGGATAAGAAACAAGTTATCAACGCATTAATTTTCGTATAAATTATACATCCCGGGGGCTATCTGGTGGGCTGTTTGGAAAGAAAGGAATTCAAGATGTTTTGAGAGCATAGAGAACAATGTGCAGAAAGTTAAACTAAACTGCATTTTACTTTTAGTCTTTTGGTGTAATCAATTATACTCTAATGACACTGTCTCTATTATTGATGTGTTAGACTCAATTTAGACGTAGAGAAGTGAAATCAGGAGTAGACTTGTATATAAGGTTACAGTACGACCCATGTACTATTTTGTGATATAATACAAAGTTACCAAGTTCAAAAAAATAAAATAAAATAATTTATTCATATATAAAATTAATATGACAACAATTTAGAAACTTGCATAGCAAATACATGAATAACTAACTAATCCTTATATAACTTATATTTCTATAAAATAATACATAAATTTACTCATAATTAATTATTATATTATTAATACTTGCATAATTCTTATTCATATTTATTTGATAATAAATAAGACTTATGTATAAAATTAATACGGTACTTATTTCGTAATTTAGAAATCCGCATAATTTATTTTTTGTGAAAAATATTCCCAAAAGTGGAAAAAGAGAACGCGTTCAACAAATTAGAGGTCAAATCTGGTTTTCCTTGTCCCTTCGCAATTGGGTCACCGCCGCTCTACATATATTACATTCTTCTTCGTCTTTCTTCTCATTCTACTTTCTATACACAAATTTTCGTTCTTCATCAACCATGTTGTTATCGCCGGGACACTCCCCGCGCCACCTATCAACGCCGTCTCCTTCGCCGTCGTTGGCCGAGCAAAACCCTAATTCAACCCTCCACAACAGTAATTCTTCTACAGTACCAACCAATAAACGCCGGTCGAAAGTACTCGATGAGGATACATATGTGGCCGCTATAGAGAAAATAATCGAGCGTGATTTCTTCCCAGATATCCCCAAGCTTCGCGATCGTCTTGATTGGCTTGAAGCGATTCGCACAGGCGATCCGGTTCAAATTCGTGATGCTCAGTTGAAAATTATCGAACGAAGGGGAGGTAGAGCTGTTGGATCGAGCACTGAAGGTAAATTACGAACCCCTGGTTCGACTTTCTTTCGAAATTCGACTACTCCGTTTGATGATCCTTATAAAACTCCCACTCCGAGTGTAGTTAATGGTAATAATTGGTCTAGTGTTGGGAATAATGCTGAGGGAGGTGGTGGTGAGGTGGATGGGTCTTTGAGTTTAGATGAGTTTTTTAGGAGGTATACGAGTGAGGATAATGAGAGTTTTTCAAAGCTTATTGAGAAAGTGAACAGGAAAAGGAAGGAGAAATATGGGTATTTGTTGGAAGGTGAGAAGGATGAGGAGATGAAGTTGATTGAGGATTCTAAGAGGGCGAAGGTAGTTACTGATGGATATGGGACATCAGATCAGCCAGTGGCTACATTGGAAGGGTGGAAATACGCTGCTAAGAATTTGCTGATGTATCATCCGGCGGATAATGGGGAGGTAGCCTTGACTGAAGAAGAAAGAGCAGAGAGGCTTAAGGGATTGACGAAAGAAGTTAGTAAGGTGAATACAAGGTTTCATGGTAAGATGATGGAATCACAGCCGAAAGAGGATGAGACAGTGGCTGTGCTTTATACACCTGTTCCTGGGGCAACTCCGGTTCCTTTTCTTGATAGAGGTGATAAGACAAAGAAGTATGATTTGGATGACCTGCGGAAGACCCCGAATCAGTTCTTTGTTGAGTCAGGAAAGAAGGCTGAGAATGGATATAGTTTTGTTAGTACTCCTTCACCCGCGCCTGGTGTGGATGGATCACCGTTTATAACGTGGGGAGAAATTGAAGGAACACCTTTGCGGCTGGAGCAGGAGGACACACCCATTGATATTGGTGGAAATGGTGAAGGCCCTCAGTATAAGATCCCAATGCCACCCTCCAGAGATACAAAGGCTCATTCTTTATCTCGTGAAGCTGCTCGTAAGTTGAGGGAGAGGTCAAAGATGTTTCAGAAACCACCATTACCTTCACCAGTTAGAGGAGGGAGTGCTAGTCCAGCTGCACGTACTCTTTCACCTGCTGCACAGAAGTTTATGCGAAAGGCAATTGCCAAGTCGTCTCACTCTTTAGATGAATCTCTCCGAGCAAGTTACCGTGGTGCAAGTCCTGGACTGAGTACTCCTAAAATTGGCAGGAGTTTGTCAAGGTTAGGAAGAGAAGGTAGTCTAGATTCCAGGTCACCATCTGTAAGAGAAGGATCTAATCCTCCTTGGTAATTGTCTTATAGCATTGTATTGGTAATTACCAGTTCCTTATCAAAAAAATATATTGGTAATAACATGTTAACCGTACTCAATCTTTGTCTCTTTTACCTTAACTTTACTAAATGTTTTCTTTGCATCTGCTGATGTCTGTAAAATGTGGAAATCTTGAATTTGCTAGTTATGATTATGCGTCATTCCTTTTTCCTGTATTGCTTATCAAACTCGTTATTTATCACTTTACGAACTGATAGAGCTTCAGTTTTCTCAAGTAAGCTGAGTTGTTCCCTTATGGGAAAGCTGCTTATCCATTTGGACACCATTTGAAAGCAATGAACAATTCCTGTGTAGCAAGCTGATGAGTATTCTTTTTAAATATTAAATATTCGTTGTTTTGATTCTTTTGTAGCTTAACTTGTTTTGCTGTTTCTCCATGTTTTTGTTAGTTGTAAAGGAGACCAATTAGCACTGTGTACCCAATTGGCAAATTCATATTTCATTTGCTCACCAGTTATGTAACCTTTTGGGGTTTGGCGGGGGGAGAGAAGAAACTAAAAATCCATTTTTAGACGACATGAACTTGCTATAAAACATGTGTAGATATCCACATTTTAACCTTGAGCGGTTGTCTAACTGAATGTCTGCAACTTATAAAAGGGAGATTAGTGGGTGTGGGAAAGTCAGTTGATAGATTCGTGGAGGATATTTATCTTTGAGGTCAAGGTCGTGTATTAGTGTGTTTAATACAGGTTTTGTTGTGGCATGTAGATAGGGGTAAGGCCAAGGTGACATTTTGTCAGGTTGAACGTAGTTCTGACTTCTTTGAAGTCTTCTGTTAGAGAACCAGATATGCGCTAGTGTGTTTTCAGCTTCTTAATATTTGATGGCATCGTTATATGTAATATATAATACCTTCACTAGTTCCAGTATGTCGTGGTAGTTTGTAAATGGTGCCATTGGCAGCGTAGTGTTGTGGCAGATGTGGAATTTCTTTATATTTTCATCTTCTATCTGACGAGATGCAGTGACTTAAATCCATTGTTCTGCCATGTTTTAGCTCTTTTCTTTTCCTTTTGTGGAGTACAAAGGACCGACCCCATCATACAATTTTTTCCAGAAGAATTTTACTTCATTGCAGGTTAACATATTTAATCCCCTGAGATCTATGGCCTCTTTTGATTTGGATGGAAAAAATTAATGAGGAACTGTCGCCTTTCTTGCTGTTGGGTTTTTGGGATTTCACTGGTTGTCAGCTATTGTTAACACATTGGTAATTATTCCTTTATCAGAGCATTTTTGCTCGCTTTCCTTGATGTATTTAGGTTCCTTAAAAAGGAGCATATGGTAAACCAAAGTAGGAGTTGTTACGGATAATGAAGAAACTAGTAGATTAAGATATGAAAACAATGTAAAATAAACAAAATTTGATATAGGAATATTCGGTTTGATACCCTGTTACTAATTCTGCTTGTGGTAGATAAAGGTGAGAAGTCAAAACTCCATTCTAGGCCACTCAGTTCCTCGATCCCCTGAACTTTTGGGTGAGAGAGGAAGTGGTAATGCATGTGAGATTGTGAGTTAAGAAAGGTGGGGAAGTTGAGTACAGGTATTACAACAAGATTTTTAGTTAAAGCAACATATTTATTAAAGAAACTCTAGTGACTAGTCTAATGCATAGGATTCACCGATTCAGGAATGATTCTCTTGTGGCAAAAACTTCACTTATTGAAGTTGAATTGCTCTTGCAAGTAGCATGTCAATTGAGGGTAGCTTTCTAATATGTTTTCCCATAAGTTCAGTTTAGTACCTAGGATGCTCTTACTTGTAGTAATTAAGAAAAAGCACCCCACCTATACTCCCATGTATGGGAATCAACGGTGGAGTTTTTTCATTTTCTCCATTGGTGACTTGAACATCCAATCTCTAAGGTTAGAGGTGGAGGACGAGGGCCTTCAGTTGAGCTATCCTGTATTGGGTTCTTATAACAGAGGAATTTGTGTGGAAAAGAGAAAGGTTAAGACGGTTGAAGTTGCTATAATGGTCAGGTGAGGAATCATTTGTAGTGAACTGTTGTTGGTGACCATTAATAGAGCACTGTAACTTCCTCTTTAGAATTTGATAAACTAAATAAGAATTACACCATCTATATCTCAACTGCACAATACCTAGATATAATAGACTGAACAAACTAACATCTTCTGTGATTAGACTGGTGTGGACTTGTGGTCATTTATGTTTGCTAAAACATTGAAGTGTCTTTCTAGTATGCTTAAGTTTTGATGGAGAAAGTTACTCGGTACCTGCATCTATCTTACTTGATTGCTGCGGTTGTTAAAAAGAACAGGACTTACCTGTGCCAAAAAGGCATATGCCCTTTTTTTTACTTGAAAGTGTTGAGTATCTCTTCATTTGAACTGATACTTTGCTTTAAGAGGAGATTGTCAAAGTAGATCGGATTCTAAATGCATAGGACAATATGGTTAATTTGAGACGTGAAATTAATGAGCTGATGTTGGACTAGTATTATGGAGTCCTATATAACGTAGATTTCACACACACACATCCAAAGGTGTATTGAGCTCTATGATTACAAATTTAAAATCTTGGATCTGCTTATGTTATGATATTTTGCATCTGGCCAATGCAATGCTTAATCACCAGGTATATTTGGATCAGTATTTTCGACGTGGAACATAAATTTGTTTTAAAATTCATTAAAATCGCAACAAATAGTAGGTGTGAACTTATTATTTTAAAACGGAAAAGGATAAAAAAAAATGTCTTGAACTATGTGAAATTGAACACAAATGTCATCAATTAATAGTTTAGTGTAAAATGTCGTGTCGTCATTAGTTTGGTCCAAAAATGGTTAAACCACTAATAGTTTGGTCCAAAAATGTCTCCATAGCTAATTCTTTAAAAGTAATATTTTTATTAGGAAAAGAATGACGTTTTAAAAAGAAATGAAATAATACATTTATTAGGAGAAGGGGCAATTTTGATCTATTAAGTAACAACAGGGACATTTTGGATCAAATTACTGATAGTCGGGCATTTTTAGACCAAACTATTAACGAAGGGCATTTTTGTTCAATTTCACATAATTTAAGAGCAATGTGAATCCTTTTACGTTTTTAAAATACAATTTGATCAATATTAAGAACTTAAAGAATCCAAATTCTAGGTAGGTTGTAAAAGGACAATCTGGTTTACTAAGCGCATTGCCCTATCTTCTTACAATAGATTATTTTCACAATTCAAACTCGTGACCTTCCGATCACACAACAATAATTTTATCGATCATCTTCATAATTCAAACTCGTGACCTTCTAATCACACAATAACTTTACCAATTAAGCTAGGTGGTAACACAATTAATTGTTGGTTGCTTGTGTTGGGAGATTCAGTGAATGTGAAGTGTTTTTTGGGCACGGATGGCACATGACATGAACTATTTTAGTGTATTATTACTTTGCTCTCTGTATTCTGTTGTGTGGTGACAGCAATATTCATGCCACGGATATATTATGCAATCTTATATGGGAACACCTCGATATTTTTTTCTTCAAGATATTTGAGACTTAATTTAGCAGCCATAAATTTTTTTCTGACTTTTTCAATATATTCACATGCTTGTCCTAGCTTTTCTCCAACTTGCAAATTGAATAGAAAATTGTAAATTGAAGAAATGTGATGCAACTTTGATTTTATTTTTTTTGGTAAGCATATATTCAATGAATTTTACTAATTATTTGAGGGATATTAGAATTTTAATTTTTTTTTGAATTAATTATTAGGTGCACATCTATTTGAACTATCACCAATTTATTGGTGGTCTCAATTATCAATTGTTTATTTTACTACACCAACAATAGTAATGTTTATTATTTATGGTAGGAAAAGAGAATAATTGATGGTTCAGATGTGTTTGAATAAGTAATTGGTAATAGTTCAGATTGAAAAAAGTACACACCTTATAGTTTGGATAAAAACTCGATAAATTGAGATACTTTAAGTATGTTTTTTTTTTTTACTAAAATATGAATCAATAGTCAAGTGTTGAAGAAATTGAATTGCAAACTTTATTTTATTTTTATTTCTTCTTAATTTTCAAGCATTACAACAAACATATTTAAAATGGGGTATGCCAAATTATCTACTTGTTGAATCAAACTCTATAATTTTAACTCTTATCTTTAATTATTTAGAATTTGTCAACTTATTACTTATAGAATTATGTCAACAATATATATAATGATTGATTCAGTAAAATGATGGTTTTCAAAGTTGAATTACTAAAATATTATCTAAAATTAATAATTAAAAATATATATTTGAAGAAATCGTTTATAAAAAAACATTAAGTAATAATTTGTATCTAAAATATTAGAAAAAATAATTATAAAAGATAATTTACATCTAATAAAATTTAAAAAATACATTTGAAGTTTGTTTAGATTTTAAGCCTCTAAGTAAAATGGACATCAACTCACAAACCTTGTAACAAAAATTTACTCTTAAAAAGAAAAGTTGTTCATTCTAATAATTAGAAGGATGATTTAATCAATCTTAATATTAGTACATTTTTTTTCCCACACTTTTTGGGAAAAGTTGGGTCAATGCATAGAAAGAAGATTAAAAAAAAAAAGGGAGGAAAATGCAGATTTTTCCAGCGCCATTAAGCTAAAACTTCAATCTTAATCACCCACGTTGAATCAAAATAACGAGAGAAATATGATCATAAGAATTAATTATACAGCTGATCTTAATTAAGTTTTTGCACGGACTTCCCTTATTTGACGTAATCTTTAATTTTTATCCCTTAAATTGATGGTCTTTAATTTTTATCCTTATTACTTATTTTTAAAAAAAAAAATTGTTATCCAAAGTATTCTTAACTATGATTTATTTTATAAAAAAATTGGGGTATTTTTGTCTGCATATTTATTATTTAAGGTGTTAAAAGGAAGATATTAAAGACCATAAAATTTAAGGAAAAATTAAAAACCACCTAAAAATAGAAATATTTTTTTCAGAGTGACCCAATCTTAGTTGGTTTGAGATTGAACCATAATTGTTATTGATATTGTTCGAAAACATTAGTATTTTCTTCTTTAGATAAAATTTTAAATAAAAGAAAAAAAACCTAAGTATAAATATAAATTATTTACCAATTATAATGGCAACACACACGTGACATTGATGAGCTGACAATATAGTTGATAACTTTTGAAACTACGTAGAAATTAATATTTGCATGCCTACGTATAATCCAATCCTTATTTTACTTGAATTAGACTTCTCTATAAATTATATAAATATAACATAAGGCTTTTGCATATAATTTATCAATTGCCTTAATACCTTCATCCTCCAATTTATTTACTCCCTCTCTATTTTTCATCTTGCTAAAGGTAAGTAAGTTTCTTCACTTTCCATATATATGGTCTGAAGAATTTCGATAATAATAGTTTTATGAACAATCATCGATAGAAATACATGTTTTAATTATTATTTTTTTATAGTGGAACCTAAAATTATATTTATGGTAAGTTATATAATTGTAATAATTTAATCTTATTGGGATAGGGAATAAATTACATCGTAGTCCTTTTGGGACATGGAAATCAAGCCTAGTCTATAAAAAGACGATGATATTGTGAATATTGAATAACAGAAGAGTCGAGTTCTTATTGTTTTTTTTTTAAAAAAAATTGTTTCAGTAGAGCTAAAAATGCCATCTGCAAGTGCTGATTCAATGGAAGAAGAAAAGGAATTATTTGCTGAAGTTGATCCATCAGGGAGATTTGGTCGATACGCGGAGTTACTAGGCCATGGTGCTGTGAAGAAGGTATACAGAGCATTTGATATACAAGAAGGAAGAGATGTAGCGTGGAATCAAATTCGATTGAGTAAATTTATTGACATGCCTTATGTTATAAGTAAAATTCGTTCTGAGATTACGTTGTTGAAAAACTTGAAGAATGATAATATCATTGTGTTGTATCATTTCTGGAGAGATAAGGAACATAACATACTCAATTTCATTACTGAGGAATGTGTGTCTGGGAATTTGAGGGATTATAGGAAGAAGCATCGTCGCGTTTCTATAAAGGCGTTGAAGAATTGGTCTAGACAGATATTGCAGGGGTTGGATTATTTGCATACTCATGATCCTTGTGTTATTCATAGAGATCTTAATTGCAGCAACATATTTATCAATGGGAATGTTGGAAAGGTAATTCAATTTTGATCATTCTATTTGTTTTTAGTTTATGTGCATTTAGCTTAATGTTTTTCTTATCTGAAGTTATTGAAAATTTGAGGTTCCAATCCTAAAAGATTTGAAAAACAGGACATACTCATAGATGATCCATATTGAGTTCTGATAATATTCGAGTTTGTTGCTAGGTATTTGACCAAATAGGATCATCAGTATTACTACTTTCTAGATCATTCTGCAACACGTTTGGAACAAAACAGAGATATCTTCATTTTGAAATTCATTTGGACTCGACTGGTGTAATGTATTATAGGAATCATCTTTGTTGACCCAAACCCAATATTTTTGTCACAACTCAAGCCCTAGACATGCATTGTTTTTACTCAACAAACCTCACAGATTTGTCCCTGGAGCTATGCCATCATTGAGCCCAAAAGCGTGCATATCATATGAACTTGTGAGATGCCTTATAAAGTTGATCTTCACTTTCCTCTCTTATTTTGATGTAAGATTCGCTTAAGCTATCACATGCACCCCTTCTTCAGAAGCTTGTCAGGCTAGATGCCTATTAGTCCTTCTCTTTGACCCGTACTCCTGGACCTCAAAACCACTAAAATCTCAACAACCACTAAATTGGCAACTCAAATCCCAACATACAATTGCTTTTGCTACTAAGAACCTTGAAATCCTGAATTTGCCTCTACTTGTACCATAGCAACGCGCTAATTATCATAGTTGTTATGTTTATACAGGTAAAAATAGGTGATCTTGGGTTGGCTACAATAGTAGGGAAGAGTCATGCAGCACATTCAATGCTAGGGACACCAGGGTACATGGCACCAGAACTATATGAAGAGGACTACACAGAGTTAGTAGATATTTACTCATTTGGAATGTGTTTGCTAGAAATGGCCACTATGGAAATACCATATAGTGAATGTGAAAGCCTAGCCAAATTATACAGGAAGGTTACATCAGGAGTAAAGCCTCAAGCTTTCAATAAAGTGAGTGATAAAGAGTTGAAGGATTTCATTGAAAAATGCATTGGACAACCAAGAGCAAGACCATCTGCTGCTGACTTGCTAATGGATCCTTTCCTTTCTGATGTTGCTAATTGTTGAGGTGCACTTTGTTTAAATATGGACAAGTTATTTTTTGTTGTTCAAGTTTAAGTTATCAATTAATGTTTATCATAAAGATTAGTTACCAATATGTATCATTCGACCATCTAGTTCATCAAAAATGGTCCAAGTATACACTACATATACAGTCGGTTTACATGTATGTATATCATATGTGAAGGGATAGTTATCAATATGTACCATTCGACCATCTAATTTATGAAAAATGGTCGAAGTATACACTACATATATACTCGGTTGTATATGATATGTATATGTGTGTACATGTATGTATATCACATGTGAAGGGATAGTTATCAAATATGTACCATTCAACCATCTAGTTTATCAAAGATGATCGAAGTATACACTACATATACACCTCAGTTGTATATGATATGTATATGGTGTGTACATGTATGTATATCATATGTAAACTCATCAGTATGCCTAACTTTTATATCGGACTACTAGAAAATAGACTTATGTCACCGATTCAAAAATTATTGCGTGCAATAGATAGAAAAACCGTTTATGCAACTGTTTATTGATGTTATATAACAATGGATTGAAATACATATTTTAAATTTTTTATATTTTATATGTTGTTATATGCAACACTTGAAACAAAAAAAAAAAGAAACAAAGAATTGGTGTGTTGATAATTTATTTATATATATATTCTAAATTCATTAACTTAAAATCTTAAGTTCACTTATGTTACTTAGCTCGTATTTAATATTAGTTATAGACTATATTGTATATCACCCTTGGGGATGTGCTAGCGATCTACACGTCATCTAGAACTTGTCTATGCTAGTAAAAATTGGGGATGATTGGTCTTCCATTCATCCGATCGTATAGACAACAAAGCTACCTTCATAACATTTTTCCTTTTGTTCATATATATGTTAAAATTATTATAAAATATGGCAATTTAATTTGCTTGAATTGCTCAACCTAAGTTTGACGAAGAATCTTAGTTCGAAGTATAGGAGGAGGGCAATGACAGAACCAAAAATTTGGTGAAGGCATGTGCAAATTATTTTTTTCCAGTTGTGCTGTGCAAATTTAAAAATACACTCATAATTTTTCAATGAAGAATGTATATTGGATTACCCTTCGCCTAAGGTGACTCTGCTCATGAGAGAAGGATTATACTGAATCAGTTGGCTAGCTCTGAAAGCTCAATTACAAGAATCTATCTGCACAAATATTAACCTCTGAAAGTTTCATTCAAGTTACTGATTACTCAGTGGTCACTCATATATTACTGACTCTATTAAATCAACGAAAAATAATAATAAAGAAAAACATGCAAGTAAAGACAAACTTTTGTATGTATGCATGTATATACAACATCTAATAGATTTTTGAGGGACACAAGAATGAAAAAAGGGATAAAGATGTGATTGGGATTAAAATATGTTGGTTAAGCAAAGTAAATATACTTGAAACAAAAGCAAAGCCTAATTAATTATTCTAAAGTATATTATATTACTACAATTTAGAAGCCGTGCCGTCTTGGTTATTGTTGGCTCACCTTATCGTATGTTACAAAAAGCACCCTCTAAACTTCTTTTGCACTTCACTAATTAATTAAAAAAAATTAATCTGATTTAATTTGTGACTTGGCTTCAATTTTCCACATTTTGTCTTTCCCAATACACTTGAATTTCCCCCATGAGTTCACTTAAAAATATTAGTACTACGTGTCTTTTAAAAAAAAACTGCATACTCCTTAAATCTTGATTCTTGTATTAAAAATAGACTTTTTTTTATTTGTTCATTTTAACAAATTAATTTTAAAAAATTCAATACTATATTTATTAGTATTAAATAACTACATAAAGTACTAATATAATAGTCATATTTAGATTTTCAAAGCATATGGTAATTTAGTAAGATGAATCACTAATAAATAATTTATTAAGAGGAGCATCAAATCGATATGAGCCAAATAAAGTGAAACAGATGAAGTATTTGATAGTAACCTCAATCATGAGATTGAGAGTACATAATTATCCTTCACTAATTGAAACAATAAGGGTTGATATAAGAAAGAACTATGTAATAAAAGACCACTTATTTTCCTAAAATGTTGAACAAAATTCAATTTGTAAGAATGAGTAATATTCAGTTGATTGACTATTTATATTTTCACTTTATTGATCAGAGTTCGATTCTCCAAAATCTCGTCAATTATTTCCCCTTCCCTATATAACCATAGGAGTGAATTCCGAGGGGAAAAAAAGTCAATATATGCCTACAAAATAAAAAATATATAAATTCCAATGTGAGAGGTGTACGTATACATGCATTGAGTTTCAAAAGCTACGTACTAAAATTAGTATTTAGAAAGTTCATTGGGAATGTTGAATATCATGTACTCTATGTTTCATTTTATATGATATAGTTCGAATTTTGTGAAACAAAAAAAATTTATGACTGCAATTTATTCACAAACATTTTAAATTGTTAATTCTTATGACTTATTATACTTTTTACGTAGTTTCTAAATATATAAATTGTTTTTATTTAATTTTGTACGACTATGGTGCCCAGGCCAGCTTTTACGCACCTTGACTTATTCCACGAGATACCTACCAAGTAACATTGTCCACCAAGGATCACCTAGTGTTTTTTTTTGTCTCCACTGAGTTTTAAACCTGAGACATCAGGGTTCTGAACCACTTCATTGACGACTAGGACACACCCTTGAATGCTAAATTTGTAAATTATTTTTTAAAAAACCTTAAAGATTGTTGTATGCCTGAATGCATGATCAAATACTATGTTATATAAATTAAGACAGATAGAATAAATATATACATTATTTTTCTAGGTATAAATTCTTTGAATTTTTCACAAACTCGATTATTTCAGATTATGGGAGAATGCAATGCTTTAATTTTTCCAATGAGGAAGCTAGTTTTCTCAATTGTCATGCACGTGTGTATACAGTCCAAAAGCCAAGAAAATTGCTATATTTTCAAACTTCAACTTCTCGAACGTCTTTGAAGCCTTAATATTAGGAGTTTCTTGAGTCCCACTTGTGACTTTTGACTCAAAACAAAAACTACTATACTCATCATAACAAGTATGGACCTTTTTATGTTTTTTTTTTTTTTACGGTGATGTTCAAGACAGCTAACATATATCTTAATTATTTAATTAGGTATTTGCTACTTTCACAAAAATACATGTATGAGAAATGGAATAACTTTGTCCATCAAGGCTTTACCAATGAAAAAAAATCATTACTATATTTTTTTTATCTAACTGAAATTTGGACCTGAAATATCATGCTTCTCTACCAAGGGCAAAAGCTAGAGCGGTTGAAATTACATGAATTGTCTTTAAAATGGATTGGTCTTTAATTTTTGCCCTTAAGATGATCTAGTCTTTAATTTTTGGCACTAACTTCTTTAAAAGAGTCATGCGGAGCATAACTTGAGAAATATTATGAAGGGCATGAGTTAACGGCCAACACAACAAAATAAGGGCATAAGTGTCAATGACCCGCTTGAGTGTCGGCAAAACTCTAACAATTTAGATTCAAACTCTGTATTTATCCTTCAAAGTCCTTAAATATGTACAAATTATTAATTTAGAATTCAATAACTTGAGATTTCAAAACTCATAAGCTGCAAATCCTGGCTCCAGCTCTATCTAGCTACATCATTGATCAAATAGGCTAGCTACCCTTGGGTGCTGACCTTTTTTTATGTTATAATTTCCACACTGATTGTTCACTTCACAGGATTTCTGGATTCTAGAAGCACTCTACCATTTTATTAGTACTATATTTTTGAAGTTTGAGCTGGATTTTCCAACATTTATGCTTCCTTTCAGAAACAAATGTTTCATATTTGACTAGATAAATTTCATGCACATTAACTCCATCTCTCATTAAAAACTTCCTTACAACCCACAAGTCTTATTATTGGCTGAATGCATGGGTACTTCTTCAAGTCCAAAAGACTCTTCAATTCTTTATAGTCCACTTTCATCTCCTAATGTTGGTGCCTTGCTTAAAATCAAGATCCTTTCATGGTAACAACTATGTTTAATTCCACATTTCAACTTTTTAATTATGTTTTTTTTTGTATTGTTTTAACTTAAACTAATCAAGAAATCCTACTTCACTAGTAAAAGTCACTAATTTCCCACTAAAAAATGTACGGTGGCTATTTCCACAAATATTTTGATTGAATCGATGAGAAAAGAAGAAATTAGAAAGTTTCCCACTATTTCAATACGAATCTGTTTCCACCATGTATTTCCTAGTGAGTTGGTTTGGTGGAAAAATTGTCCTTAATAGCACAAATTTCCCACTAATTCACGGTGGGAAAAAACTTTATTTCTAGTAGTGTTTGTTTGATATGCTTTACTTATCAGAAACGGTATCTCTACCCTTATACAATAGGGGTAAGACACTGCATCCTCACCAGACTCCACTTGCATTGTGAGATTTCACTAGCTATGTTGTTTTTACTTATCAAGAAATGTTCTTTCAGGAGTCAAGAAACTGGTTTACCTGTCACAATTCGAGTTCGGATAGCTGATAGAACCTTTAACTTGCATAAGGTGAGATCTCCCAACTCAACTAGCATGGAGCTCTCCAGTTAAGCACCATTTTTCACTATTATGATATTATCAATTAGCTCACTTTCTTGGTTTTTGATGTTGCAGCACCCCTTGTTCTCGAAAAGCGGATACTTCAGAAGACAACTGAATGAATCAAATGAGGTTGAATTACCAAGAAATTTCCCTGGAGGAGCAGAGACTTTTGAAATGATGGCACTCTTCATCTATGGATCCTCCACGTTAGTCGACCCTTTCAACGTTGCAGCGCTAAGATGTGCAGCAGAGTACCTTGAAATGACAGAAGAGTACATCTCTGGCAATCTTTGTGAGCGTTTCGACATATATTTGAACCAGGTTGTGCTGCAAAGCTGGGATGATACTCTGATAGTACTCCAAAAATGCCAAATGTTGCTTCCTTTGGCTGAGGAGCTGCTGATTGTTAGCCGTTGCATCGAGTCACTTGCCTTCTTGGCCTGCATGGAAATTCTTGATCCTGAAAGGAGAAGAGACCATCCAGTTGTTACATTAGACGCCTTAGCTAGTCAGCCTTGGAGTAATGAGACAGTTAAGGCTATTCTCAGCCAAGATTTGTGGATTAAAGATCTCATCGCTCTGCCATTTCCATTCTTCAAGAGGATAATATCATCTCTGAGAAGACAAGGGATGAAGGAAAAATATGTCAGCCCCATAGTTCTTTTCTATGCAAACAAATGGGTACTTTCTAGAAAAACTCACCAGTATTGGCAGGACGCTAGGAAGGATGGAAAAGCTGACAATGACGTTGAGGATGATGACGCTGATGATACTAATGAAAAGGTTTCCAAGATTCTTCAAGGGATTCTTGATTTGCTCCCTATGGGAAAGAAAGCGAGTAAAGTAATCCCCGTTGGATTTTATTTCTCTTTGCTTTCAAGATCACTTCAACTTGATTTAACAAGTGAAAGTAGGGAAAAGTTGCAAGATCAGATTGCGTCCCTACTATACTTGGCTCGAATGGAAGATTTCCTCCTTCCGGATAGCAGCAATGACTCCATTTCTTCCTGCATTGAGTTATCAGTAATGAAGAGCATATTTTCAAAATATGTGTCCTTCAACATGGAGTTAACTCATACACCTTCACCAAGAAACTACATCGTCGCTGAACTTTGGGATGTATATCTAACCAAGATAGCCACTGATCCACAATGGAGTTCGAAAAGATTCTTAGAGCTCATTGAAACTGTTCCAATGTCCAGCAGGCAAACGCACGATCATCTCTATAGAGCTTTAAGCACTTTTCTCATGGTAAGTTTTCTACATAATATAAATTTAAAGGCACATTTCTGTATAATTCAATCAACTCACACCTCTAAAGTGAACGCATAGGGCTGTCGATATACTGTTGAAATTTCTTTCCTCAATAAAGATAAATTTTCCATTTTATCCAGGCACATCCAGATATGTCACAAGAAGAGAAAGGATTGGTGTGCAAATACCTCAATTGCCAGAAACTTTCGCAAGAAGTGTGCATTGAAGCAGTTCAAAATGAATTGATGCCGTTGAGACTTATTGTCCAGGCGCTGTTTGTTCAGCAACTAAACACACAGCAAGCTTTTAAAGAATGTTCAGACTCGTTCCGATATGCTCAATGTGGAGAGTACTCTGGAAGCCTCTCAAGTACAATATATCCAAATTCCAAAAGCCAGAATTTGGTTGAGAGTCCATGTATGGAGGGAAGTGAAGGAGGCAGTAAAACACTAAGCTTCTTGTTAAAAGATTCAGCAGTGCAAAGGTCCGAATTCTCAAGGAAGGAATATGAATCCACGAGCTTCAGAATCCAAAACCTTGAAGAAGAATTGATGTCCTTGAAGAAAACGCTTCAACTGCAGCACATATCTAAGCAAACAGAAACCATCTCCAAGAAAGTTGAACCAGTTTCCGCAGATTTTCAAAGCTTGAAACCATATGGTCTAGAGGGAAGAACACCAACCAAGAAGAGCGTTGGACAAGTAACTAGTTGCATTGGTTCTGTGAATTTTTCTTCCCAAAAACGATATGCTACTAGGTTACTTAAGATTTTCCGGAGGATAACTTTGTTTGGCAGAGGAAAATCAAGAAAAAAGCAAGGTGGAAATGGCCTTAGGCCAAAGATATTGAACTTTTAAACTACAACTACATTGCTGATCAAGGACCACAAAATATGAGAGTATATTATTTACCAAATTTTGATGTAAGAAAGTTCATGTAAATAGCAAGGGAATCAAATAAGAACATGTCAGTGGACGTTGATATTATTATAATGAATCATAAGCTGTTGTACTTTGTTGAACATATGCAATAGCCAAACTGTTTTTACAATGCCCTACATTTGCTTAGATATACCACAGAATGACATATTTTGTTCCACAAAAGGAGCCTCTTTTCCACTTCTGCATTGGACTCACATCTCAGAGAGCAGTGGCTGACTATGGCCATAATTACATTCAAGCAAATAAACAACTAACCAATAAAGGATGTCTTTGACCCTCGAAACACTTCAGATAAGAATTGGGCGTAGCAACTCAATCACCTCACTGATCAAGAATGCAAGGGAACAGGAATACTAAGTCCAGATATTTTGTGATGCTTTTGCTAAGAATAAGAGTTTGTCATAGCAAGACGGTTTTATATACACATTTAGAAACTGTGAGGAGCCTATAAGTCTTTCACTGAAAAGGAAAAACTACAAGTCAACAATAACATACCCTGTATATTCCCACAGGTGGGGTCTGGGGAGAGTACCTAGCTTACCCCTACCTCGTGGAGATAGAGAGGCTGTTTCCAAAAGACTTTTGGCTCACGTATCACATAAATGCAGTTTGAAAAAGACAATATAGAGGTAAAATCACTGAAAAGAAAAGCATCCAATAATAAGTAAGCCTCTATAATCTATATATCAATCAGAAAAGTGAAACAAATGCAAGACTCAAGTATGTTTTTTATTTGATTAATTATTGGTTTAAATATCACAAGCAAAGCCAGATAAGGTATAGAAGTCCTAAAAGCGCAAGGGAGGTCCTATATACAGGAGCATGAAATTGATCCAGTGTTTCATCAGTATAATCCATTTTCTAGCATCCAAGCACAACCCTCTCTAATAAAATCACCACTGCATCACAGTGTATCTAGTATCTTCATTTGACTTAATCATCAACATGTTTCTGCTTACACAGTGCAAAAAGACGAGAAAATTAGGTACCAAAAGACAGCTGAGGGATTACTTTTAACATACAAATTAACAATGACCAAGAATCTGCTTCATATATCAGATCATGAAAAATTATTCTGTAAGTTGTGTTTGGCTTTGTCAAATTCATAAGATCCTAGATTATTAGTACTGCTCTAAATAAAGTATGCTAATGTGGATCAAGCGAACAACTCTAGAAACCAAAAGCAGCTACAACATCAACAAATCTACTTCAATCCTAAACAAATTGGAGCCACTATATGAATCAGTCAATAAGCAATATCCATTCTGCTCAATTTGGTCTGTGTTATTCCAACACTCAACTCTCCCCGTAAGTCTTTTGTTCATAAGATGGAGTTAGGTTTTGAATTTCAGTTTATCACTGAGGACGTGGAAAATAAATTTAAAAAAGAAAAAGACTACGTTTCTTCTTCAACAAGCTCTATCAGAAACAACCTATCTAGCTTCACAAGGTAAGGAGTAAGGATGGGTACACACCACGCCTACCCATATGCCACTTGTGGGATTACAATGGGTATGTTGCTGTAAGAAGAAAATTGATTTCATTTTCCTTAATTTCTTCCAGCTCATTCTACTCAGACCCAAAAAGGAAAAACTTGGAAACAGTTCTTTTGTTTTCCTTTCTCTAATTACCAAGGAGAAAAGATTCTTAATTCTGTTAATATAATGGTTTGTAGTACAATCATCTTTTATATAAACATTTGCATCCTTTCTTTTTCGCCACTCGCCAAAATAGAATTTCAGATAATCACCAAAAACACTGGTATTGCAGCATGAACATAACAGGGATCTATAAACATGAAGCACTCCACACTTCCTAGGATATCGTTTATAAGATTAAATATAGCAAAAATACATCAAAATAATACAGTGTAATAAAGAAGGTATACATATCATTCATGCGGACATTCACTAGACCTAACATGGCCATAACTGAGACAATGGTTTCCCTTTGTGGCACGTCATCATACAGTCAAGTACAGTTTCTCTGAGCTTCTTCTCTACATCTTCAATCGAAAGGGTTGCATCAATAACCTGCAATAAATCAAGGAAACAACATCAACAAGGCAAAGCTATCGCCAAGGCTTTGAATAAAAAAAAAACTGATCAGCCTGTTATTTGATTCATGAAAAAAAGTGAATTTATGTGTATAAAGAAGATCAAATCCGAATTTGATCAGTAGTGTTTAGTCTGTCAGATTATGTTTCTGCTTAGTCACCATAGACATGCCAATTAAATATCAAAAACATCCCAACTAACTCGGAAAGTACTGCTGAGTCAAAAACCAAATGACGGTATTCTACAACTAGTAGGTTATCAGACTAGTTGCTATATTTACTTAAACAGACATTTCTATTTCCGTCGACAAATGGAAAACAAGTCACCTTCCACGAGGAATCACAAAGAGACAAATAAGATCCAGCCACCTTTTTCTGAAACTCAAGCTGTTCATATCTTTCATCTCCATAACCTCCTCTTTCAGCAGCTTTCTAGTTATCATAGAATTGAATCATTAATAAACAGTCATGATAACAACAATGGGAGCATATCTTTCAAATTCAAAAATATAGCTGACAAGGATTAGTTAACAAGACAAGCGATAGGAGAATAAATTCTAAAAGGTAAGACTGGTTTTAAACCTGCATAATATGGAACAAGTAAAAAGGGAACAGCTGATCCTCAATAACAGAGTAGATTGCTCAAGAAATCCACATATATCCCAAAGACAGGCTTCAAATTAGAAAATTGCATTGACGATATCTCTCTTAACTTAATACAGGTGAAAAAAGAAGAAAAAAAAATACCTCTGGTGATATGTCGAGATATACAACCAGATCTGGAGCTAACAACCCTATTTCTGGAGCCTGCAGTAAAAGATCAGTGTTAAACTTGCTAGGAGATTTTGAAATTACAACATCAATGAAGTAAGACACGATTTTACCTTACACCATTCAATATCAAGTCCCTTGGCAGAGGAAAATGCCACCCCAGAATAAGAATAGCGGTCAACGATGAGAGTAGTTCCACTCTTCAGCTTCTCCTCCATTAATGATCTGCAGTTTCTCAACAGAAATTAATAAGTTATGGGCACACCAGGCTAAACGCATGTTAAGTTCTACAATGATCATGAGCCAACTCACTGCATATTTTCAGATATACTATCCGACCTAGAATGAAAAAATATAGGTAAAACTTTTCAGTTAAATAACAATGGTATTTCAAAAGTGGGAATTCAACTATTGCCAGGAACGTTTCTATTTTCATCAATGCCTTTGCTTGAGAACAAACTACTGGGAATTCAACTATTGCCAAAAACTTTTCTATTTTCATCAATGCCTTTGCTTGAGAACAAACTACAAAGGGAATAGAAAATTAGAAAAGCATGCATATAAACATTTGATTATTCATTTTGGTGAGAACTTTCAAGCATGGTACCTGAAAGACAAATGTTGAATTAACTGAGGGGGGAGAAAAAGCATTTGCACAGCCTAACAAGCTCTTTAAACTTTTTTTATAAAACACTGCTCTAAATTGAAGACCACAATTTTTTAAGCTTTCTGCTATTCAGATTGACGAGCTAAATGGTCTTCATATATTCCAGGCAAATGACAATCATAGGCAGACAACTGTTCAAAAGTTCAGTTACCTTTATCTCAAAAAAAACTGTTCAAAAGTTCTTTAACCTGGTAAGAGTAGGGAGTCTATACCACTTAATTCCTTTTACATCCATTATACAAGGTTATTTTCATTTGCTGGTCCACAAAGGCAAAGTCTTTTATCAATTTGAAAGTAGCGGGAGAGAAAATGTGAATAATTAGCAAAAGCTGGTCTTCGTCAATGTATTCCTGCCAAGTTCTCTTGGTTTTCAATTTATCCATCTAGTGCTTGTAAACAATTATAAGGAAATACAGCTAGATTAAGTGAGAAAAGTACTTCCAATAGCATAAAGAAGTCCAAGCATGCCCATGGTTTTGGTCTAGTGGTAAAGCAGAACTCGTGATATGAGGGTTAAGTGCACGTCATGGATTAGAACACTACCACAGACAAAAGCGTGATATTAAATGGAAAAGGATAGAGAAATGGGGCCATTATCCACAGACTATTGAACCGTGTGCCACTGGCCCTCTGTTGCAAGACTGGTAGTTGGCGGCTCACGAGCAACATATCAGGGATTCCTCAGTTATTCAAAGAAAGTCCCAGCGTTCATTTTTTAATCAAAAAAAGTCCCAGCATTCAAACCATCAGTTCAGATAGATAGTCAGCATATCAAATTAGGAGGATATATGACTACTGACTAACCATTTGATTGATTTGATTAATAAGCTAGCCAATTCCATCCCCACATATACCTAGATATGGAAAGGATAGTGACAAATGTCATGCCTAAGGATTTTTGACAGACGGTGGTAGATAGCAAAGTCATGGGTACTCCACTGCATCGTTAAAATCATCAAATTTAAGTGTAGAACTATTTGAAAATTGATGGTAAAAATTATAATTAATACTAAATTATAAAATAAAAAAAAATAAAAAAAAAGATCATTCTATATATTCAATTCTTCTTGGCCAACTATGAATAATAGCAGCATTGCTCACACTAAATTTATTTCCAAAATAAATTTTTTGTGCAATAGACTAGCCCTAGACTGAACATAAATTGAATAGTTTGATTTATTTACAAAATTTGTGAGTAAAAATTCTACAACGGAGAGTTTATTCTTTATACTATATTTGAGTGAGCTTTTAGTATCAGAAGCCATTCAAGAAAACAGAAGGGGAAGCCATTCAAGAAAACAGAAGGGGGATTACTTTGGGAAATTAAACAAACTGTGGAACCTGACAAAAGGGCTAAATCTCCTTCATGAAAGAAAGAGCTGTAACAAAGGAGACAAAAGGAGTTCCTTTTTGCCATGGAGAAGATGAAGTTCTTCAGTTTTGGAAAGTTGCAATTTAGAGAGAAAGGAGGAAAGTACATACACAAACAAGAAAGGTAAAATAAGCATCAGCTAGATGAGAAAAATATGGTTGAGGCGAGAATTGACCATGGGGCAAGTAGGATTTTACAACTCTTTGACCCACCATAAAACCAAAACATCCACTGAGATTTTATTTTGCAGGGTGCTCACTGATCTCTTTTGTTTGTTATTCAGTAACAACTATCTTTATGTATATATATAGTCAGGCTCGACAGCAGTATGTGCTCGAGCACCCACATGGACCTACGTGGGTGGTGGGTGTGCCCCTGTTGACTGGGGACATGACCAAGTACTGAACTCTGACAGGTAATCTCTGTGTATCAGACACATTGAGCATCACAATTTACACACTACATATGGGCAATGCAAGTAAGGCTGTGTGAATTGAACAAACCTCTTCTCCCAACGATTTGCACTGAAGAGAAGATGGATTGCATGGTCATCCAACTGTGATTTGTTAGCAAGATAAGAAGAAATCATTTGCCCAACGCCTGTATTTCTGTCAGGAAATCTCCACGACTCAACTGAATGTCCCTGCTCATCCAAATACTTGTACAGTCTGCCAGATTGCGATGTCTTCCCACAACGATCCAGCCCTTCTAACACAATTAAAGCACCTCTGGAGCTGCTGCTCTCTTTATTCTCCATATGAATAAGTCTTGAAGGCTTAAAACGTAACTTCAAATCCAAGCTAGACTTCAATGAAAACAAAGCTGCCCAAGTTCCAAATTTTCTAGGAAAAGTCGAAATTGTCTTTGGTACAAAGCTTCTGCTGGAAAACAAAGTTTCCTCCACTTTTAAAGTCCTTCGCCTAAAATATTTAACACAGAACACATTAGATCTAGATGACATATAGAACAAACTTTACAAGTTAATCCCCATTTAACTTATTCTCACAAACTAAACTCCAAACATATACTCATATAATGTACCTCACAGAAAAGACTCATATCCTATTGATCATCCACTCATTGGCATTTTATCAAGCATAATATGCACATAAATATTTACATCAGGGTTATAAAAATTAAAACTTGGAAACCCCAAAGTGAATTTTGAACCCCTAAACCACTAACTCAACCTGTTCGAGGGATTCAAAATATATATACCTACCTAAAAATAAAAAAATTAACCTTATACTCACAATATAATTTTTCGTCGAGGAATTCAGCTAAACACCCTCCCTTCCCTAGATCTGCCCCTGACAGTATGAAACACCCATATCAAGGGAACGCAAAACCTATGTATAATTCTTGAGTTTTGCTACTAAGAAATTCTGCATAAACTTGGCGAAAAATCTGAAATACACACAGTACAATAATAAATTTATCAATAAATCAAACAAATTTTCATCTTTTACAAAGAGATTCACTATTTCTTCGTAATCAAACAAAATTCAAATGAATCAATCAACAACCAAATACACAAATTTCAGTAAAGGGAAACTTACAGTGTTGTGGTGAGTGCGAAATTGCTCATATCACTGAATACCTAAAAACCTATTTTCCGCGCCTCTTTTGAAAAATACCATTTTTTTATTTGGCGCCTTTTAGGGTTCTTCGGGTTATTTGCATAAATAACCACCTATGAAGTTTCTATTTAAAACATAACCATTCACTAAACTGTGGCTTGAGGAATTGAGAGGTTTTTTTTTTTAGGACAAATTACTTAACTACACTCCTTTACTTACCTTAATATCTATTTATTTCAAAAATCCCTTATTTTACCTATGTATCCCGTGCACAACGCTATGTATCTCGCTATGTGGAATGTATCAAATGTTATGTATCCCATGCACAACACTATGTATCCCGCTATGTGGAATGTATCAAACCTAATGTATCCGGTGCACAACGCTATGTATCCCGCAAACATGATTTTTATGGGATTTTTGGTAAATAGAAAACTAGAAGGGATAGAATGTTATTTAGTATTTTCCTATAATTTATACCTTTTTTAACTCTATAAAGGCAAGTAATTAAACTTCATATCAACAGTTTGAAGCTTGAACAGTTACTTGCCAATTTTAAAGTATTGATCTAAAGTTTAAACTATTAAAAATCTGAACTTTAAAATATTTGTCAAAAATTTAAAATAGTACAAGACAACATTATACTAGTTAGAATTGCATATATATTAAGTGAGAATTGATCTCTAGTCTTCTAGATAAATAACTTAACATTCAATCAACGCACTATTTAATCTTTTTATAGCATAGATTTCATCATATAATATTATCTCAATTTTAAGAAATGTATACATAGAATATTTATTTCACATTCATATTTTTTTTTTAAATAGAAAAAAGATGCAAACGAAAGAATGGATTTGCAATATAGAAGTGGACACTTTTAAACTTTGGTTACATTTGCAAAAAAAAAAAGGGTAGATGAGCTTTTAAAAATAACTTTGATAGTGAATAAAAATTGTGACTATTTTATCATTCAAATACGCAAAAAAAAAAAAAAAAAAAAAAGATCAAACTTTAGAAAAAATTAAAGAAGATAAATTGAATTCAATTATAAAAGACCTTACAAAAAATAAATTTGCTTTGCATATATTCGTTCAAAGGATGAATACTTTTATAAATAAAATGATTGAATTCTATAGTATTATATATAGGCAAAATTTTGATATACAATATTGTTGTTATTTTTATATCTATCTAAAATTTAATTACACTATACATAAAACTTTAAATTTGAATAAAAAATCAAATCATCATTATTTCTCTGGCGTCTTAACTCTTAATCCAAACATATCAGGAGCTATCACACAAATTCCTTAAGAATTGTTCATTTAGTGTGACCACGTGTAATTTTGCTATCATAACGTAAATTTCATGCTTTCTATCATTTGGATTGACGAGCTAAATGGTCTTCCTATATTTCAGGCTAATGACAATTATAGGTAGACAACTGGTCAAGAGTTCTTTGAACTGGTAAGCCCATACCAATTAATTCCTGTTCCAGCCATTATACAAAGTTATTTTCATTTTCTTGATCCACAGAGGCAAAATATTTTTTATCAGTTTGAAATTAGCAAAAGAGATAATGTGAATAACTAGCAAAGGCTGGTCTTAGTCAATGTATTCCTGCCAAGTTCTCTTGATATTCGGTTTCCCTGTCTTGTTCTTGTAAACAAATATAATACAGGAAAATACCAACTAATGTATAGCTAGATGAAGTGAGATATGTAATTCTACTAGCATAAAGGACACGCCCCCTAGGTTTTGGTTTAATTGTAAAGCATAACTCATGATATGTGTGTCAGGTGCAAGTCATGGATTTGAACTATACCGCAGTCAGAAGCATGATATTAAGTGAAAAAGGGTAAAGGAATGGGCCACTATCCACAGACTATTGAACAATGTGCCATTGGCCCTCAAAGATTTCTCAGTTACTAGGAAAAAGTCCCGGTGTTCAAACCATCAATTCAGATGTATAGCCAGCATACCAATATTGGAGGCTATGGTTGTTGACACCCAATTTTGACCCTCCATAATATAAATTAATCATCGAGTCTCTTTAATTTCAAACGATTTGAAATACTTAACTTTATAAAATTCTAAACATTTTTCAAGTTATTTTAAAATAATTGTAGTCGTTTTTATTAATTTTTGAATAATATATATGTATATAATTAAGTATATTTTATAAATATTTGAAAAATCGTCTCAAAAGGATTTTGTTTTAATTTAATAATTGGTTAATTAATTTAGTTAATTAATAGTTTATATTTTAGAGTTAATTAGTTTATAATTAAGTTAATTATTTTATTTTGATTAAGAAGCTTGTTATTTAATTATATTAATTTGTCTTATTTAATTGTTAACCAAATTTACTAAACTAATTCAATTCGTGTCCGTTCTTAATTGAACTCATATGGCATTGTCTTAATTTGAAATCTTGCCTTTTTATTTGCAAACTTGAACTCATTGTTTTAGCATGTATTTTTGTCTGATGGATGCTAATTGAGTTTTAGTTGTGGTCTGTTCTGAATTCTCTTATGTGGTGTTTTTGGGTCTAAGGACTTTTCTAATTTCCAAATTCGTTTATTTAGTGATCCATCCATGGTCATGAGTTTGATTTTTGTTTCCGTTTATAGTCGTTTTAAATCTTAGTTTATTTACTTGTTTGTTCTATCTAGGAAGTCAGCCTAGCCTGTTTTAGGCTCAATTTTTTATTTCCTGAAAAAGTATAAAGAATTGGGTTGTCTCTAAACCATGTTTCTAGTTCATATTGTCCCTTTACTGATCATCATCCATGATACAAAAATGTCAAGTCTTCATCATTTTACTTTAGTTTGCTATTTTGCTAATGAAGATAAATAAGCATGTGCTTCTCTAATATTTTCTATCACTTCATCTTCTCCTTTAAATACTAATTCCTTTATTTATTTGTTTTACATGAAATCTTCCCCAGTTCACCATGAATTCATTGGGCCAAAGGCTCAATTCTTCCCTTCATCGAGTTAGCTGGGTCAATAGAACCGATGAATTCCAGGTCTCCGGAGCGAAATTATATGTTGTATACAGCAGGATACGCAGAATATACAGAAATATACAATAGGTATATACACTGTATATAGCAGCAAAAATGGGCCAACAGCACAAGAAAAATTTCAGCAGCATGTCTTTGAGATGAATGGGCCAAAACTCATCCATTTTTAGTAGCTACTTTGATAGTTTTAGGACAGGGATGAAAATAGGCCAAATCCCAATTTTGCTTTTCTTTTGCAACAGCAGGTTGGAAGATATAAAGGGCTAAAACAGGCCCATTTTTGTGCAGCAAACCCATTTTTAGACTTAGGGCAGATTGGACCAAAAGTCCAAATTTGACCTTGCTTCCCTCTTTTATTATTATTTATTCATGGTATTAACTCTAACCTTTGTTTTAAGTATAAATTATAGGAACCACATATTATAAGTACTAAATAACATCCTATCTCTTCTAGTTTTCTATTTACCAAAAATTCCTAAAAATGATGTTTGCGGGATACATAGCGTTGTGCACGGGATACATTAAGTTTGATACATTCCACATAGCGGGATACATAGCGTTGTGCACAAGATACATAGTGTTTGATACATTCCACATAGCGGGATACATAACGTTGTGCACGGGATACATAGGTAAATAAGAGATTTTTGAAAATTTTGAAATAAGTAGAGATAAATGGATATTAAGGTAAGTAAAAGAGTGTAGTTAAGTAATTTGTCCTTGTTTTAATTTGGTTTAATTTAATTAAATTTTCAAAGGATAGTCTTTTTTATTTTTATGTTTAATTAAAACATTTTTGGGTCCTCTGAGGCGCCAGATTCATGCGCTAATACATACGAAAAACGAAGTCATAATGGTGTGAGTATACGTGGTGGTTTTCCAACTCAATAGAGAAGTTCAAATAAAGTTTTTTTTCAGAAAATAATTGTGGGTCCTCTGAGGCGCCAAATCCATGGGCTAATACACACGATAAATCGAGAAATTTCGGTAATTACTAAAAAGGGTCTATAAATGTGAAAATATGCGTTAAAAAATGGTGTGAGTATGCATTGTGGTTTATCAACTCATTACAGAGGTCCTCATAAAGTTTTTTTTAGAAAAAAAATTTGGGTGCTCCGAAGCGCCAGATTCATGGGATAATACACATGAAAAATCAAGGAATTTGGGTAACTCCTAAAAAAAGGCTTGTAAATGCGGCAATAGGCATTACAAAATTATGTGAGTATACGTGATGGTTCCCCAACTTATTATGGAGGTCCTAATAAATATTTTTAAGAAAATAATTTGGGCGCTCCGAAGGGCTAGATCCATGGGCTAATACCACGAAAAATTGAGGAATTTGGATAATTCCTAAAAAAGGTTTGTAAATGTAGAAATAGACATTAAAAAATAGTGTAAGTATACGTGGTGGTTCCCTAACTCATTACGAAGGTGCTCAAAAAGTTCTATCAGAAAAAAAATTGGTGCTTTGAGGCGCCAGATTTAAGGGCTAAATACACATGAAAAATCGAGAAATTTGGGTAATTCCTAAAAATGGGTCTTTAAATGCGGAAATAGACATTAAAAATATGGTGTAAGTATACAAGGCTACCTACCTCCGATCATCGACCTCGAGGCACCCCACCTCTCGACTCCCATTGTGTCTTGAGGCTGACCTCCCGACCCCTGAACTGGAGCCGCCATGCCTAGAGGCCTCTCCCGGCCTAGAGGCGTCATGCCGCGAGGCCGCTACACCCCTTGAACCCCGACCTCGAGTCACCGTTGATGAGTCCAAAATTTGGACTCATTTAGGGATTTGTTTGTATATAATTAATGCCCTCAAATGCTAAATTTATGTCAATAACTAATGTAAAACCCATGATTTTCAGATATATTGATTAAGGAACAAAGCTAGGACAGAAATGGGCAACAAGGACAACACAAGCAAAAAAGAGAAGAGGAAAAACAAGTCTGATGATCGTCGAGATCACTCGACGAATCACCTAGTTGCTCATCTATCGCCTAAATTTGCAGAACTCTGAGACTGGATAAGGGGTAACTTCGGCGAGCAA